TAATTTTTAATTAATTTACTGACTTTTTGATATTTTTCATTGCACTTAATTCTATCTTGCTTAGTTTTCAGTCCAGCTCACGTTAATATATTGTTTGTATTTTATTTAATTTTATATTATTATAATTAAAATGTCGCAAAATATATCAGGCATAATTAATTTTTTTGAAAGCATACAAAATTTACATAATTTACATTGTAGAAGAATTGTCTTTTTAAAGTTTACTGATTAGAAGAACTGTTTCCAATAAAAGTATACGGATAAAAATTAGAGAAGAGATGAGTGGAATATTTTATCGGTGAGATATAGCACAGTCTCGAAATGGGATTAAATGTAACGAGGGTTGAATAAAGACGGGAATAAAGTCCAGGACTGCCTGGACTACTAAGCAATTTCGTTTCGAGAATGGATCGACGCAACTTTGTCGCTTTACTTGTCTTATAAGGGGTGGCGCGCCTTTGTTTTAGTAGAACGTCACAAACCATTCGATCTTTTCTTCGGCAAACAAAGTGCATTATTCGATCCCTTGGTGTAAGTTTCGTATAACTAAGAAAACGGGCGGGAACCTTGAAAACGGCTATAGATTCCAGAAAATTATGGTTGGACTTCATTAAATTATATGAAATGTTTCTGACACAAGTACCAAAAAAAATATTTTATTCTTTTGAACCTCTAAAATTGCATGGTCAATAATTGTCTTAAATCTTATACTTCAAATATTTATCTTAGGAAAAATTTTAATTAAATACTGTGCGCGCAAAATTATTTATTAAGAAAGTTTATTGCATTCTGAATTTTTTTTATATGGTTCGTCGAAGACAGTGTTTTAGTTATATTTTATAGTATAAAATTTTTCCAGATCCGGAATTTATATTAAATTATTTTGTCTTATAACTAAAAAGAAATTTATATATGATTTTGATTTAAATTATTCACGATGAATTTTTGTTTTATTATAGTTTCTTCGTGAAGGGAGTTTACTTGTAATTGTAGCTGTTTGATAACTATAATATGTACTCAGAAGTAATGATATTCAAGAGTTATCGGATTTTGAATGTGATGTAACGTCGAAGAAGCCATATAATAGATTGAGCTGACCCTGTTTTACTTATTACTCAGTGACAACGGATAATCGTATACCGATTCATCGACTTATTTCTAAGGCTTTAATCATTGCTCTCCATCTGTTCTGTCAGTTAAAAATTCTCCTTTTTTTCTAGCCAAGAAGAGAAATTACTTCTCGGTTGGATATATATACATGTCTTATTAAAATCTCTACGCAATTGAGCAAATATAATATAATTTACTTTACAGAAAAGGAATATTTTTAAACATTTTATATTATATTACAACGCGGTGAATAGTGAAAGCAGCTAATGAATTATTAGAGATACAAATATAATACATAATAAAAATATAATTTTCATTACGTTCGTACAAAGAACATGAAATAATACTAAAAAAAGATATTTAATAAATTCATTTCAGAATTCAGGAATTTCAGACAGCGAACAACTAAATGACCCATTTGTTTCAACTCGAGTAAACAATAACTATGCTTTGATGAGACTAGCGAGAAGATAAATTGCAACAGATGTTCCAGCAGATGCAAGAGCATTAATTCATATAATTGTTCATCTCGAGTTTTAAAGTCAATAGAACATCATGCGAATACAAACTAAATAATTATTTGAAGTTTTTATTTATTTTACATTATACTTATCAATTTAATTTTGAGGTGTATTTATATTACTAAAAATGCGTGTTATTGTTAAAAACGGGGTTGCTCGTGCTTTGTGATTCGTGAACATGCAGAAACGTTACGATTCCAGCAGCGTCTAGGGAAAACCGCGGATGACGTAACGCTCATTGTATAATCACACTCCATTGTATAATCACACGGTCACGTTTCGCGCGGCCGTGTTTATCCCAGCCGCCGTAAGAAAGACTGGCAGAGGTATGCGTGAATCTCACCTTCGGAATTTCTCGTTCCCGTGGTGCGTGGTTGTGATTTTATGACGGTCGGGTCATCCGGTGTCTGATGAAATCCCGGGTCGTCGGTAAATCCCAAGTTGCGAGACGACGGGTCAATCGATACCGTATCGCGCGTGATCTGTCCGATTTGATCTTTCGAGGAGGATTTGCTGTCGTTAGAATAATTCTTCTGATGAGGGTCCCTAATACTACCATTTACGCGGTCCTCTAATATAACGCTCGTTTGTACGTCGCCCAGATCATTTTCTTCATCATTATTCCACCGGCGATCGTCGGTCTTGTTTTGTCTCGGTTCTTTCCTATCGATCTTCCGGAATTCTTTGGTCATCTTGAAAGAATTGTTGTCTCCGAAAACACGTTGATTGCTGCCATTTGTAACGTCGCTGTTTGCCGTTACGTTGTCGAATCCGCGTACAAGGTACAATTCATCGAGCTTCTTTTTGTGATTCTTTTCCTCGGTAATCGGAGTGGCGTTGGTAACAGGATCTCTATCGAAATGTGTCTGGTTCGTCTCGGTTCCAGGAATAGTCGTGAACTTCAATGTAGAAGACGTGCTTTCAACATCTAGCGTACTTGTAGAATTCGCGAATTCTGAAGGTAGATCAGCGTTACCGTTATAAGTCTCTTTTTCGGATGTATTCCCACGTCGTGATTCGTCGTTTCGCGAAATCGAGTTCTCCGCGCGACCCATTGTCGAATTAAGCACTTTTCCCACTTTGACGAACGAATTGTTGAGTCTGTTGGAAATCGCTGTCTCTCGCGACAAACTTCGATTCTGAGCGCGTAGGGTGTCCACAAGCGAGTGCCTCAGGTTCAGCAGTATCATGTTCAGTCTTCGTTTCTTTTCGAGATCCATTTTGTCTCGGGGATCGACAACGGAGTCATCGTCGTCGTATATATCTTGTGACATGCGACCCAGAAGAAGAGGTTTGTGCACGTGATTGACCTCGCTCTGCTGGAGGAAACTGCCGTCTTTCTTCGTCGAATCCGTCTCATCCGAGGGTTGCGCGATCAGGAACTGCATCTGCGGATCCGTCCGCAGACGTTGTCGCTGCATGAGCCTCGGATTTGGCGGTTCCCACAGGAATATGTAGTAGGCGCTTAAGAGAATACCCACAAAACTCACGGAAAACAAGTAGGCCATCACGGTGACCACGCGAATTATCTTCTTAGGCCTGCGATTCTCGTAGATGTCCGGGTTCTGATCTTTCGTCGGAGTAGCCATAAAACCGTCCTGCGATTTTCCCTCGCCGTTGCTGTCCTCCATCTCGACTCTTGCGTACGTTCAGCTTTTGTGGAATGTGAGAAACTGAGACGTGTCAACTGAAAATTTTTATCTTCTCAGTCATGATTCCGCGTTCTCGCGCACATCGCGGGAGAAGGTTTCTTCCATTCGCTGCTCATCGCGAGACGGGATGTGTGATCCACTCGAAATCTTCCAATTAAATTCTCCGGTGAAACTATTTGCATACGGCGAAGACGGCGTTCTTCGACGATTCTTCCCGGCGGTTTTTATCAATTGCCATTCGTGATTACATAGAAGACAGGAAACGAATTTTATCTGCTGTTTGTTTTAGCGTTCTTTTCGGGTCTGGCTCGCGTTAATGGCTCGACTGTTTGTTGCTTCGAGCACCCGCACACTGAGGGTAGTAAATATGAAAGAGAGACGATCTCGTCCGATCGAGGGGAAGCGTCCCGGTAGCGATAACACGCGCGACTGCAAGTTCTCGGCGAGCGACGCGCCGCGGAAAAGCTCGGCTTTGCGGCGTTCACCACGTGTTCGGCCGCCCGCGCAAGCGTCCTCGCATACCTGCCACATGGTTTACACGAAATCTTAACAACAGTCCGACAGTTTCCGAGTGACTTGCAAGAGGTTCTTTTATGAGCGATCTGCCGCTATACGCCGTTTCGTCTCGTCAACAAAACTATATCGGGTACGATTTTATTAGCCCATTGTTTCAAATATATATACATCTCATTTATCGAAAATTTGTTATTGATCCGGCAAATTTTTATTTTGCGGCAATTTTCCTTCGTTTTCCGCGACAATCGCGTCGTTTTGCTTGAACTGCGATCTCGAGGAATTGGTGCTCGTAGCAGAAGTAAACGATTTCTGATCGTCGGAATCCTCTTCCTCGCGCTCCGAAACGGTATTGCCGTCGTCTCTCGAGGAATCCGGCGATTCGTCAGATACCGAACGGTCTCTATTTCGCTGTCCTTCTACCTCTTCTAAGGAAGATTCGCCTGCAGTCCTTGAAGATCCTTCGGGACACCCTCTCTCCTCGCTATTCACAGACAGATTACTACTCGTCGAGTTTAGTTGTCGTAGTAACCGATGCAACCAGTTCCGGAAGTATTCCTTCATGACGACCTCGTTTTTGCGTTTCGTGGACAGAGACCGAACATCTTCCGAACGCTTTGTCTTGACCTTTAAGAATTCCTCGAATTTCCGGAAGTCGTCCGCCGTGAAGATGTTCCCGTCCAATCTCACATCAGAATCGGTCAACATCGACGTCAGTCGCCACTCTCTATTCTTTCCATCTTGCTGTTGTATGTGGTTATTCGATTTCCAACCACTTTTTCCGGCAAAAATAGATCCTTGTTCCGAAACAGGGTCAGATTTTTCCAAAAGGGATGAGGTATTCTCCTCCTTCTCCTCGGAAAGTGACTGTGAACATTCGCCATTTGTCTCCGCGGATAAAGACGAGGAAACTCTCTCAGATCCGATCGGTACTAATGGCAAATTGGGAATGGATTGTTGCTCGTTGAGCAGACGAAAGATTTGCATTAGCAGATCGTTGGAACCTTCGAAAGCAGAAGACATTGACACTGGCGTTTGCTGATTCTGTTGCGCGATTAATGAATTCAACGCCGGCATCAACGTGGGCGCGTATAATAGAACGGCCAGCCTGTATAAATAATTAATCATAAATTAAATTCTAAAAAGTTTATAAAATATATATTATGCAACACGTGCATGGAAAGTGCCCCATTACGCACGCTACGCGTGCGTGATAGACCACTTTCCAGGCACTTGCAACATAAAATAGGGAGTGTAAGCCGTGTGTAAAGATGAAAATTCCCGGGTGCGGAGTTTACGCACGAGCCGAAGGCGAATTTTCATCTTACCTCACTTGTTACACAAATAACTATAACCTTATTTTTTTAATTTATTAAAAAAATGTTATATTCTTTCCTGATTCTAATTTTGTGTGTTGAATGTTACAAATAATTTAATTAAAAATGTATCGTGCATGTCTTGCACTTTTATTAGCCACTAAAATTTGTTTGTCGTTAACGATTCTTGAGAGATATTTTTAAAAATCTTGCGCGGGGAATAGAAAGCACTTGAGAAACGAATACGAACAAGTAAATAAACGGACCATAAATACCTTAGGAGTTGTATTGTGAGACTGCTGGAATCTAAAATAGGATCAGTGGCCGATGAGTGCATTATAGGATTGTACGTTGTGTGTACCGTGCTCCTCGGGGTCGGCGTTCTTCTTTCGATTCGCGGATTTGCTCGATTATTGCTGGAACTAGAATTTATTAAGCCAAGAAAACAATCTATTACAACCAATAGATTACTTACACAATTGAAATTATATGACAAAATATATATTATATATATATATGAAATTATATGATAAAATATTCAAAAAATATAACAAAGTTTTTTGTATTATGAAGAAGAAAAGAGAAAAGAAAGCAAACGTATAAAAATATATTTTTATAATCTCCGTATTATCAGGATATAAAATAATCTGCTGGATTTTAAGTAGAAACACTTCATTTTAATTACATCACTATATTCTTTGCTATTATTGCATCACATTTTGTACAAGTTATCATTCTTGCAAATTTTCTCACGATTTTAGTTTAAGAGACTTAACATTTCAAATCCAATAATCAAGGAAAGATGAGTTCTGCTAAGAATAATCTCTTTCATCCTCAGAATTTTTTTATAATTCTTTCTTTCTTTCCGCTATATTCTATCTTATCTCAGGATCATACCTCTCTGCAGAAATCCTTCGATGTTGCAATTTTTCCCCGTCGTTCTTTCGAGACGAGGAATTATTGTGAAGTCGATCTGTCTCCTCCTTGCGAAACATTCTCAGAAAACTCGCGTACTTCGGCGTGGACACGTGCTTTTTCCAGAACGGCTTTCCTTCCACCGGTATCCTGCTATTTCTGAACCTGCTCCTGGTAGTCTTCTCGTCTGGGGTGAACGTTGTTGGCGTACCATTAACACGCGGCTTGATCTTTCCAGTCATTCTCGACCGATCTTGTTGGCTGCCGGTTTCCAGATCGCGTTCGACCGCTATTGCTCGATCTTCCAGATCGTCAAATTTACGTTTGTTGCCGTGTCCTTGTCCCGTTACGAGTCGGTTTTGATCAGTCACGACGCTTGACTCTGCGGTCTGCGGCAGGACATTTCCCTGACAGCTGACCGCTTGCGGATCGATCGATCGTTTATCGCCGTTATTTATCGCGACGCCGTCGTCGTCGAGCTTGACGGGCCTCGATTCCGCCGGATGGGAAATCTTCGCCGCGTTGCTGATGATTTTACTGACATCCTGGCACGCTTCCATCGACTCTTTCGAGCTCTGTTGCTTTATTGTTCCGTTGTCGTTTTGAGGCGACGCAGTTCCGGTGCAGTTCTGTAAAGTCTGGGTAATGTTAGAACCACCGGATGTTACCGAGAACCGAAGTTTATTGTGTGACAGGATGAGTAATTTCGCATTTTTCATTTTTAATTCCATTGGAAGTAAAAAAAAAAACAACTTTGGAACACAGAACCAATTGACATTTTATAGCGGAAGTTGGAAGCTGAAGACGGAATCTCCAAATAAACAAATAAAACAGAGTTACACTGTGCCATAAATTCCCCATCCAGTCGCAAGATAACGCAAATATTGTGACGATTCCTAAATATTTATTTTACATGAAGGAAAAACAAGGAGAAAGCAAGGAGGCGCGTACAATAATAAAAAAATCCTCCTATATTTTGTTTCTACACATCACGAAAACGCATATTGTTCGCTGGAATATTGATATATGTCTATATACAATCGGAAAACCTGCTGCAATTTGAAGTTGAAATAGCAGAAGATGCGGCTGGACATTTTACGAGTTGATTGTTCTACTTTATGCCGATCGCTATTTTGGGATTGTTAACGTTTTCCTGTCAGCAGGTTGCTACGATTTACTCAATATTTATCTGTGAAATATCTATGAAATTAGACATTTCCCGGAATAGTATATTCATTATTTACAAACGTGGCAATCAATAGTTGCAATAATCCGATGTTGCTAAATCAAATTAACTTTAAATCATAGAAATCATAAAAGTACGCGCTGGCTTGTGTTAGCTCGCGGGCTATAGATAATATATGTGACTCGCGTTTGTTGGAAAAAAATATCGATGGTACAGCGCACACGAGTGTATACCAAGTGCAGTTTCCTTCAGAAAATGGACTCTAAAGTTCAAAGATGTCATATTAGTAGATGACAATAGAAATTTCAATTCGGTATCGATTTCGGTGACACAAACGCTGATATCAATTTGTCGCTCAATTCTACACGACAGAAGTTGTATAAGCTTACAAGATAAAAGGGACCCATTCTCATCAAATAATTCTTTCATCCGTCGAAGCTGCACTTAAGAGTGTTCTGTACCATCGCGGGAGTAACTTAAGATATCCAATTACACATGGTTTGATTAACGCACGTTGTTGTTTGGTTGCAGGTTCTTCATTAGCGGACTGTAGAAGGAGGAAGTTTGCAGGGAGTATTGCTTGGCAGTTTTCGGTGAGTCGTTAAACTCCTAAAAAATATTGTTAATTGCATTGTTGAAATAATTAAGATACTATGTGATAAATTGTGATAAAAATATTATATCGGAATACTAAAAACGGAATTCAAAACGTTATATAGCTTTACACAATTGTTGCTATTATTAGAATATTACATTAACCAAAATACTATAACGTTTTGTATTATTACCTCGGGCGAATTTTCTTTCTGTCTCGCTGATTGCTGATTTATCGAACAACCGTCCTTGTTCTTTCTATCAGCCATCCAACAATCGTGCCGGGTTAATGCGCAAGCCTGACGATTATTTCTTTCCCGCGGATTGACATGTCTCTCATGTAATCCCGGAGAAACCCTCGCGGAACAGGCTCGATTTCCGACGGGAAATTTATTCCAATTACACGTCGCCGTGCGCTGCATCGAAAATCGCAATAAACAAATCGACGTGATCTACATTTTGTTGTGTAAAAGAAATTTTTATTTCGAATTAGATGTGCGATTAAACCTGATTGTAAAACGCATTCTGGCATATGTCGCGTTCAACGAGGGGTGCTAATATTCTGGCCCTCGTCAATTCCCTCTCGATCGCTGCATAATTTTCGTTTATCTGCCTTATGTAATTTCTAAGTAAATCATTATATCTGGCTGCGTTACTATTGCACGGCGATCGGCGGAATCCGTTACGAGATTCGGTATAATTAGGCAACGCCGAGGGCAACGCGTTACCTCTGCGTAATAAAAATTTATATTATTAAATTACTGAAAAGACATAAATGAAGAGATGCCTCTCTTTAAGATTATATTAATTGTTATATTATAATAAAATATTGTCTTTGTTCCGCTTTTAAAGAAATTTTTCGTATGAAAAAATAATCTTTGTTTAAATCTCGGGAGGGAGTGAAAATGTATGAATTACTGCAGCTGATACGTTTCCTCCGGTTCCAAGCGATTGCCATCGTCGAGAATGGTAAAGCTCACGTTGACTCGCAATCCTTGATTCGACGGGAGAGACAAAGAGGATAGATGTCTCATTAAATGATTAGCGCGTAGCAATTCCGGAAGACGTATATCGTAGCTTTGATTCGGAGTGAGCAATCGGTCCCAGTAATTGCACAGAAATTCGAGATCGCGCCGAGTCCTCCGATAAAGATGATCCGACGGTTGCAAGTAGATGGACCGTTTCGGCATTTTTATGTTTCGTGAAGGGATAACTGAGAATTTCGAGAGATTCGCTGGCCTAAAAATATGATTGTGCCTATATAGGTTGTGAGTCTTTTCTACTTGGATCGTTATTTGTTCTCTTGGTTACATCGATCATGGGACTTCAGATTCCACTCGTCTTTTCTGCAACTTGAAATTATTTCTTTGCAATTCATGTTCAACTTTATTCCTCATTGTCCTTTTTTGAAAGAAATATAAAACTTTAGAATCCTCTCGATTGTTATTTGATAAATATGCAAATGGGATTAAATCGGTAATATCTTTTTATTATAAAAGATGGTGAAATATAAAAACAATAATATGATTATTTTTTGTGAGATAAGATTTAGGCGCAGTAAGATTGCTTTCGTAAAAATCGCATATTGTATATTTAGTAGAGACTAGTACTTGACGTGTTATATCTTGAGTCTATTTTGTTTATTGTCGTTCTCTGAATGAAGCTTATGATTTTTTTTTTCACGCCTCTTGGCAAGGTAATGGACGAAATAAACCACCAACGGAATGTATAATAAAACTCATTAGTTCGGGATATCAATAAACACCCGGCGATTTTATCGATACTTTTTTACGACGTACGTGTCGGATCATAGAAATGGGAACGTGCGATCGAGATTTATGCCACGACCGCGTGAAACATCATTCGCTGCTTCCTGTGTATATTTTCGCAACAGCGGTCTGATTAACGGTTACACGTATACAGAAATGTGGTATTCACGGCGAGCGACCCGTTGTCTCACTATCTTTTTTTTGCTTTTTGTCTAGTTTTTAAAAACTTTTTCTTTTGTGATTTCTTTCGTATTCCGGAAAGAACAAAAGATTCGGAAGGAATAATAAAAATTCGAAAAGAACAATAAAACATTATAGTGTCGATTCGAGCTATCAATATTGGTTATTCATTGAATGCACTACTAATATTGTACGCTTATAATAATCCCAACCCTATAAGCGCATAATATTCCTATAATATTATATGAATATTATTAAATCGTTTAATATTCTAAGGATATACCAAAAATATTACAATGCTTATAGCGCTTATAGGGAAAATACATATTTTAGATTTTGAAGATAAATTTCCCATTTTGCATTTTATTAGTTATTTATCTTGTTTTATCATTTTGAGCATATCGAAAATTCCGATAGAAAGAGAAACGAGTATAAATCAATTTTGTTAATTCTGAAATTTTGAAATTCTATCGTTTTAAGTAAGTATTATTGAAAAAAAGAAATTCTTAACGCTAAAATTTAGCAGAAATATGCAACGTGAATAAAACTTCCAATGCTGCAGATACGAAAAAAAAATCATCGCGTATTTAATTTCATAAAAGTATCATTTTCGGATGTCCGCAGCATCAAATCACATGTTGCGCCGAGATCATAACACACGTCGCTTTTCTTACTACGCTCCGACATCTCGGCGAGATTCAAATTGAGAACCGCTGTTCGAGGAATCGACGCCATATTGCGCTGTGGTCGAAGTCGAAGCCTCGAAGTCGAAGCTCCGGGCTTCGGTCGACGGTCATTCGAGCAGACGAAGTGAGAGAGTGAGACGTGAGACGAAACAGGAAAACGAAATATATCACCGCCGCGTTTTCTCGAATTCTCGCGTATTTGACAAGCTTACGTGGCACGGTCGTACTCGAAGTGATTCCGGGATGTGCCGCGCATTACAATCGATAAGATACACGAGTTTTCAGCTGTCATCCGCCGCCGGCCCGACACCGCGGACACACATATAACCTAACCCTAACCTCGCGACGCTACTCTTCCATGCTTCCACCTGCTTTCCGTGAGTACCCTAGAAGTCCTAAATCCTAGCCTCAATTCGCACCTAACCTCATCCTGCGCTCGACTATATGACTTGATTCAGCAGACTCGTGCTTAGGCACGACGTAAGGTGCTCGTGAAGGTGCACGTTATACAAATCTCCTAATTTCTTTATTGCTTATGTCACATATGTTTGTGTGTATATATGTGTGCTAATTATTATTCCTGGGTTCTGTTAATTGACCGACACGAACATTAATTACCTCTTTCATCTCTTTCTCGTTACGGGCATTGAAATATCTATTGCGGTACGTGACTGTCGCTGGCGTTGCTGCGCATGCAGTGCGACTTGCTCCTCCATTTGTGCAAACATCGGAGAACGTTGCGATCGCATTTTGCGCGGCGCGTCGCCTGTCACGTCGACGCTAAATTCGATTAGCGAGTCCTTTTTACGTCGCCTCTCATGTCGTAGTCGCGATACAGTCGCGTTTGGCAGCGAGCAGTGTTGTTTTGGTCGGGGGAACGTTCCTGTCATTTTTTATATACATACATATCTACGATGTAGATTGCGTAGATCGTATTCTTAGCTGTAGTCCGTCGTCACTTCTCAAGTTTCACGCTGACTCACCTTAGGGTGTATTAATGAGAGACAAATAATGCGCGGAAAAATATATTGAGAAAGATGTAAAAGAATCCGGCTTGTTCTCTAGGTAAAAGTGTTGCCTTCTGTAACATTTCCTTTATTTCTAACGTTAGAGTCTTGTCAGTCTTGAGTTTTGTGGCTAGATTATAAAAAACTTGAAGTGAAACACTTGTGAAATTGTCATTAGGGTTAACACTAATCTCTTTTATTTTAACTTTGTCTCTAACTATCTTACACAGCTTGTTTCTTTAACTTTCGTTTTATTACAAGCATGCGATTTCAAGGATGAGGAAGTTTTCTCGCTCATAAAGATGTTAACTGTTTGTAGATGTTAGATATTAGGGTGCTGCGTAATTTTTGTTTGCTTTTTATCAGCACATTTTAGCTGTGATCATATATTTAAAAAAGTGCACTAGGATTAAACTCTTGTGGCAATTTGTTTAGGATATTTATGAGTGTCCTACGATCAACCTGTTGAGATGGAAGACGAAGAGTGCTTTCAGCCAATCTTGAGCTCTCAGGAGGAAGACAATTTTCAGCAGTTAAACACCGTGTCGGTCGCGTCGATTCCACTTTTGCTTGGAGTAGGTATATCTCGCTTGCTGTGTTGTATCTTTTTAGGCTTTTTAGAGTAATTAAAAGGTCGGGCTGGATATATTGGAGCAACTTTTGTGTATCGTAGGTCTCTTTAGGGATCTGCGGGATTGTGTTTGTGTCTATTTGGCCGGAAGAGCAGAGCAAATGTGACACGTATTTTATATACTTGTATCTGCACTGTGCCTATTGGCTAATAGTCATGGCGATAGACCACGTTGTCAAGGCGAGGCACCATAACTTGCGTATTAATGGGTACCTAGATTTCTATCAGTCAACATATCAACTTATAAGGACGCCCCTTTTCATCACGTCGTTGTGGAACACATGCTACTTGTTGCTAGCTGTGATTCTACATCACACGCATAAAGTCGACTACGAACGGTATTGCAGGACGTCAGAGTGGTTCACGCCGCTCAACTATATTTTTCTTCTAACTACTTTGGAGCTCGTAATAATCTTACCAGCTTACATTAATTATATCAGTAAGTATCATAGAAAGGAAGAATATTTAATGAGAATTAATTAGAGATTGATAAAAAAAAGGATTTTTCTGGAAAAAAAATAGTTTACTTCTATATACATGGGGGCTCTTATATAATATTAAAGACATAAAAAAATGTATACAAAGTGAAATATAAAAAACTTATGTAAAATATTATGTATTATATAGAAAAAGTTATGAGATTCAATCGATTACGTCCACCGCCCGACGTCACTCGCGACGAATGGCTGTCGCCCTTTACACAGGATTCCTATTCCGGAATGGGAGAAATCGGGTATCATCAAAGGGGGAAGAATTTGGAGGAACTGCTGGAAAAGCAGGCAGACTTGATAAGATATCTGAGGGATCACAATGTAAAGCTAAGTCATAGAATAATGCTATTAGCGTCTCAACGCAGAGCAACAGAGCCATAAAATCGCGATTACATGTCTGTTCTTACAAAACGATCAGAGCTGCTCATTATTTATAATCGTGACGTTATATCGGAGGATCAGGATTTTTATTTTTCAAATGTGATAATATGATGTGTCTTTTGATGAAATTAAATTCGATATATAGATGTATATAATAAGTGTATCATACGTTTTGAAAAATCATAATATTACTGCTTAAGTTTGTTAAGAAATACTTCTATATTGTACATTTTACAAGTGTTTAGTCATAAGTTCTTTCTGTTTCACATCTTTGAGGCATATTTATTGCGCAAAGTGTTATTATTTTTATATCTTCACATATACCCTTTTTAAATTTATTATATTTATAGTATTGTAAATAATAGATTTGAATTAAACAAATAGCACTATTTAATATTTACTGTATAATCTGTAATGCATTATACCAAATAATATGGTTAGTCGATAATTTATCAAGCATAATTTTTTTTAATATGGTAACGTTAATTAATGTATCAACGATAAAATTTTGCATATTTGAGGAAAAGAAGGAAAAGATTGGTACTGTGAAAAAACTGCAACTATACGTTCATTGTCAACTCAATAAAATATATGTATATTTTTTCCAGTAGCAACCATCATTTTACATACATTATTATTTCGCATACATGAGGCTATATAAATAATTAGTCAAGCAGCGGTTTCTCTTAATAAAACTCAACAGCGTGTCGTCGTATCTCACACGTTACGATATTACATCAAAAATTTACATATAAATCTCGATTACGTTAACATTAACTCGGCGTGATATAATATTACATCGCATTTTTTTTTCTTGGATCTCAAAAAGCGGCCGTCTTTCATTGCAGCGGTAGAAAGCAAAACCGATAAAATATATACTCGCTACACCGAGCCACGTTTTTCTCGCTCGCAATATTTACTCGCGCGTAAATCAGAATAGCGTCTTTTCTCAGCGTTTCGTTACAAACTTGATAAATGTACGTATATATCATATACAGCCGTCTCTATAACATGCAGTCGTACGAATAATAGTATAAGTAAAAACTACGTATATGGTGATAATTGTAGGTTTATTACGTATCTGTAGTTTTTCTTAAACATAATAGTAACGTCTGTAGGAATCTCGCAGCAAAAATAATGCAGATTTTTCGTTTCGCATTCGTTCCTCGCGCTATTCCGCAGTCTTCCCGAGTATGTTGGAGAAATTATTGCCTCGCAGTATCACTTTCAGTCGCGAAATTTCCTTTAAAGCATCTTACGTTTCTGAGCAGCTAAAATCATTCCTGTCTATTCCTTACGTATTCTTTAGGACTGTCTTCTTCATTTCCACAATGCGCCAGCCGAGGATACAGCGATCAAGATATCTTTTTTGAAGCTCTTTTGTCGCGTCTGTTTTCAAGAATCTAGAGTTACTAAAGAAATAAATTATTCACATATATTATCTAATTCCTATAAATAGCATGTTTTTCTATCTTTTCAAACAACATCACGAAAATTTGAAGTTTCATGAAGATTTATTTGCTTATCTTTCTAATATATAATCGTACTTGAAAAAACGCAATGTGAGTAATCGTCATCTAACTTGGTATACGAGAGAACGATTGGCAATTCAGTTCGAATTGACGATTTATCTTATGACGTCTGACGAATTAAACGAGGAAAAGATGTCCTGATTGCTTGACTGGCGTGGGCTGGCACAATGTGCAATAATAGACACATCTTTACACTAGAGCTATATTATTTAACACAGGTCTACTTATGTGTCTCTTTAAGTATGTATATAAGTCTATAAATGCCTAATAATACCTATGTCATCTGGAGGCGGGTCTGGCGCAGCACATGTAGAAAATTAGTAAAGTGTCGTCGAGATTTATCAGCTCATATTTTATACTAACTCCCTAATGTTAAGAGTAAAATGACGAAATTAAGTAGCGTCTTTTCCTTTGGTTCCAGCGATTCCTCTCGAGCTTCGTGAACTATCGAAACCCGATCGCGCCGATAAATAATCGTCATTAGTTAATCTCGAGCTAACGTTTTATGTCCCTTTCTTCTTATAGGTTTAATTGCAATTTAATTATAATTATTTTTTAATTATTTTAATTTAATTATAAAATAAAAATTGGCGCGTCAGTGTTAAATTCATACATATTTTTTACAAATAATTTTTTTATTAGTTCAACGTCGATGTTGTTAATATTTCTGTCAGCAACATTAACTATTGCCATTGAAACGAAAAATTTTGTTAACTGAATATCATTCAAGAATGAAGATATCGTGACTTTTACACATTTAAGTTACAACATTAGTTTCGTAATTCCGCTCACGTAACCGTGGCCGGGACTACTACGACACAGAAAGAGATACAGAAAGTCGCTAATCAGGATTAATTGATGACAATCGATCGGTGCGATCGGGCCTCGTTATGCATGTGTAATGGAAAGAAACCTATTTACAAAAGAGCCGCGTCCTCCGTCAGACCCGGCAGATCGCGCCTTTTATCGTACACGTATATTTACGATATTACAAAACTAGCTTACACTTATATGGAACACTCAACTCTACAACACTATATAAAACGTAGAAGCTTGTACACCCCGTTGTGTCTCGAGAGTATAGGCTACGTGTGTTCGTGTACGACACCATATCCACTCCAGCACCTGCGTTTCCTCCGCGAAACGACGGCGCGATTGTCTCTCGCCGCCGTTGTCGGATCCCGTGATTACGTCAGAAACTCTCTCTCTCTCTTTCTCTCGGCCCACTCGCAATCTCTTTTTTCATTTTTTATTTCTTTTATTAAGACTTCACTGCAAAATTTGTACTACGCTTAGGCCAGCCGTTGCTGCTGAGCTAGTTCGAACGGGCGGGAGTTTCCCTGTTCCACGCGTTGTGAACAATACGCAACCGCGGCTTTCGCGCACGTTCCCCATAAAAGTGTTCCTCATTATTGTCGTGTCTAGTAGGTTTTTTTTTTATTCAGACTTTGTTGCAAACAAGGGTTAAAATAAGGACGATCCCTGTCGCGGGAGACTGATTACGGTTAACCTTCGCGAATGTCGATTCTGCCAATCGGGCTTGCTTTAATTCGATCTCGCGAAATTGGATGACGTACAGTCGGTACGAAAAGGCTTCGCTTGGAATTTACATGTGTTACGTATTACGTTGGTGGTATTAATGCGCTCGATATGGCGCGTCTCGAATTTTTCAAACGGTACAGATATATACTTCGTTCGATCGCAAATAAAATTACGAGAAGTTACATACTTATAATATAACAATACATATCGCAATAATAAATGCGCGTTTATTATACATGTAAAAATCTTGTAAAATAAGCTTTATATATTAGATTTTTAATTTATTTGAATTTCCATAAACATGTAAGATTAATGATCTTTTTTTTTTTTTCAATTGCCAAACAATATGAAATTCAAACTTTCAAAAATTCCTCGTACATCATTCAAGATTATCTCCAATTTGGTTTCAGTCTTTATTTCAATTAAACTAAAGCGGCTTAATCGAGTTAATTCGAAGCGGAAATGAAAAAGCGCGGAGACTACGTAATACAAAAAAGAGAAAAGAAGAAGAAAGATAGCAAGAGAAGTCCTCTCGAGTCCATATCTTCTTTCCCCTGCAATTAACGCTCGGATGCACCTATTACTTCCCCACAAACGTTTATTCCTTGTGTATCTGAGTATATTTTGGGGCGCATCCAAGAGTTAACAGTCCGAACGTCCAGCGATGTCCGCGCGTTATCCGCGTCTCGTTTGCGAATCGCGACGGACGACGATGGCCCGTCCGGATGGGGTTTCGCGGTCGAGGTGGACGAGGGGGAAACGCGGTGAGGCGGTGGTGGTCGGTCGTACGGCGGTCGTCGACGCGGTGGTCCCGTCGGTCCCGACCCTCGGTGTCACCCTCGTCCCGGCGTCGGTGATAAAGTCGTAAAATCACGCGTGCGCGCCGCCAATCACCGTCGCGTTCCCGGTCGCCGTCGTCGTCGTCGTCGTCGTCGCCGATAGCTGCTCCTCCGCCTCCATCATCTTCAGCTTGCGCACTACCTGCGCGTGCTCTTCCAGCAGCCTGGCGAACTCGCCTCGCCTGGTCTCGGCTTCCACTTGAATCTGCTTGATCCTCTCCCGCGGCCCGCCTGGGCTGTCCAGCGGCGTCTGCGACGCCGAGTTCTGCGAGCTGCTCTCGCGCGACAGCCCGTCCAGGTCGGAGCCGTCGCTGAGGATCGAGTGCGAGTCCACGTCGTCCACGATGAGGCTGCGGGTAGGAGCGCAATGTAATATAACATGGACTCTCTTAATGGAGCGGAAATGAATAAATAAACTGCGAAAAGAGAATAGTCATGTCTAACGAAATTAAGAAGGTGCTGACTAGTCGTGGAAAAACAAGATGACGGAGCAATTGAGTCATTTGAGTCATGTGTTTTTTTTACGTCGGTGACATCGCGATTTGTCGCGTCCGCGTCGTCGATATAGTGTGTCTAGAAGCTAGAATAACAATCATCGCCAATTATTTCCATCTATGCCTGCATCCGCCTTTTTCCTCCCGTTTTCAACGTATTATAGGATGACGTTGATCGTTTTCCGCGTCCAATTTATTTTCGTGTTTATTTATATTCTATTTTTTCGCGGGGGCTGACGTGTCCCGAGGGCTCGTTTTACAGGCGCAAATGCCGCCCGCGCACGGAAATCCATATTCTATCTGCTATCGACGTCAAAGGAAAATCCGATGCGCGCCGTGTATATAGGTACTTGATACACGACGTACTCGATGATAATAATACTGATCATTATCGCGCGTGGTATCATTATATTCGCGGCAATCGGAAACCTTCGTATCGCTTTTCGAAAAACGCAAGGTGATTTCTGAGAATTATTTTACATAATGTACGTTGGACTATATACTGATTGCGAGATTTCGTGCTTTGCAAGTCTTTGTCTCATCGAGCCGGAACGATTTCGAAGGCAGTCGCGTGTGAACAAATCGTAGAAATTATTCGCGCGTATTTCCTCTAAATTTTCTACGTCACTCGGCAATTTTCGATGAATGTGGAGAAAGTACGGGGGACCTTTGGCACTGCGAGATCAACGCGACGGGGGGGATGACTTCTTCTGCCTCTCGTCGCATCCTTCGCGAGGTTCGTACTCGCGAAAACTGCCGCGAGTATCGATCCGAGAGCCGAGTATGTGTCCCGAGTCTCGTTTACAGGCCCCGGTATCTTGTTGCACCCACCCACACACACACATACATACTCACACACATACACACACACACACGCACACACTTCATCGCTTCAACGTTACACATATAGCTGGGCCGCGGTACAATCGAATCTAGAATTATCCCTCTCCAACACGTCTCGCGTTTTAGGGCGTTGTTTACGCTCGGGATTTACGAGCTTCCTTTGCCGGACCGCTGATATCACCGGCGGAAAAAGACGGATGCGTTATCGCAGCGCACATCGTGAAGCGCAAATAGAAAATACAGTGCCTGCGAAACTCGCATCGACTTCGCGTTGGGACGCGCGGCTGAACCCTTGCGGTTGATTATATACTTGGAAACTTTGCTCATTTCGCCGATGCTTATTAGCGACGGGATTATCGATGGGGCGAAGATCCGGTAGGTAGGGATCGAGTTAACTTTTGAGAGAATCGAGGTGTTCAATTCGTGTAACGAGAATGTATTAAGAAATAGGGAAACACTTTTTGCCCGAAATAGAGTTAAAAGTTTAATCGCAATTGTGCGATCGCTGAAATAGAAATGAACGAGCCGGAACATTATTCTAGTTTGAGCGTTAATTAAAGTTCCGTTTATCGGAGCAAACTTGTACCGACTATTTCGGTATTGAAAACTTAAAACATCAAATCATTGCGTTATTAAATTTAAAATTTAATACGACGATAGTAAATCTAATAATAGAATACATATATATGAGACTAAGAAAATATCACAATATCTCTTGAGTATATACTGAAATCAATTTACTTTGACCCGGAGATATTTGTCCAATCGGGATACAAATTCAATTGTATTCTCTCAAGAGATCACGAAAAGAGAAACATGAGCATTGTGATCTTTGCGTTCCGAGTTCCGATGGTTACCTACTTTTCTCGCTACGACGGCTATTCACCCGGGACGAATGGCGAAATCAATTTCGCGCGGGTTGAGGATAACGCGGACGGGAAGACGAGATATATATTCGCCTCGTCAGCGCGAATGCCTGCCACCCGCGCCGCGGTAATCACAAACCATTTTCATGGCACGTTGCCGCGCCAGCGGAACGGGGTCGAAGGAACGTCGAAAGGGCAGAGGGCGACGATCGAAGCGGAGATTAATCGGCGATGGCCGTGGCGGCGGCGGCGGCGGCGCGAGATTTCGCGAATTTCGCAATCCGACTGTAGCGCGACCCTCGTGGGTCACCGTACGTAAAGCTGCATCCATGAAAACGTATTGTATTTCCTGATGCAACGTTAGCTTCGATTGATGGAACGGAATGGTCTTCTTTGTCCCCCCAAAAAAAATCCATTCAATGTTTGACATTTTTATATCTTTCACTATATTTTTATATCGTTGCTGTTTTTTCTGCAATTTCCTTTGCCTTGCAGCTAAAATTAGTCATTTCGTCATTTTTATAACATGAATTTTTTATCCTCCCTGATATAGCTCTCTGATGTAAAAAAAAAACTGATAATTACAATGTAAATACTTTACATTAATATATATCGTATCGTTATTGCATTTTCTGTATTTTTTTATAAATCATTATTTTAGTATATGAGAAAGTAATACTTCTGATTTTTTTTTTTTTTTTTTTTAAATATAAAAAAACGATGATACCTGTAATTACTGTCCCAATATTGCTGCGTCAGACATGACGTACTCGTTCAGAATACGCCGATCTAAGGAAGGCAAAAGCATTCATGACGTCCGGTGCACTATCGACGTTCGCCTAGAGAGGCTCTGCGGCATCGCGGCCGCCAACGATTGTCGCTTGCGTCAAGCGTTACGTCATTGGTGTACCGGCACAGCCGCGTGTGCCGCGGAAAAGTATTGATTTTTCGGAAATCGCAAAATATATGTGCAATCGTACAAGATATAGGCATCATTCAATCGTCAAAATATGAATTTTAGAGTTCTCGCTGAGTCTCTATTGAATGTGGAACTGCAACATATCCCATCAACTATACTTTTCCCTTGAAACTTCGATCTTAAACGCGACTTGCCTGATAAATCTAGATCACAGAATCGAAAATAGTCACGTTTAACATTAAACGCGCGAACGATTGAGTTTAAAGATTTGTCTCGCATTCCTCTCTCTCGAGACGAACGGCTCAGATATTATTCGAGGGATTACGCCGTATGAGAAGGACGCGTGAACGGCGCTCGATTGCGCTCGAGTAAACGTGCAAATGCGATTCCAATGATCACGGGAATCGGGAATGCGATCCAATTAACTTTTTTTGTGCGATGGATTCGATAATAGGTTCGTATTGTTTAACTGTCCGATGAATGCGTCCCCATGTGTCTCCGAGAGTGCCCTCACAGAACTTCTCTCTCGGCCCATAATCCCCTAACGGCATCTTAAACGTGACGTCAGGGACTCAACGGCTTTAGCGAGGATCGTCTGAGCATGAATGGACGACGGCGGTGTCTAACCGGGAAACGAAACCGACCGCATTTCGGGGCGAAATTTAGTGCGGAACTTTCCAATCTCCGGTTCGGCCGAACTTCGCGAGAGCCACCGAAGTATATCGATTTTGCCGGATTCACGAGGGAGTTAAAAGCGCTATTACGTACGCCGAAAATATTTCCGCATCCCGCGGCCACTGGGGAGTATTTCGTTTACGACCGGAAGTACATGCCGGCGCGATTACATGTGGCGGTTTTGTGTTAAATGTTTGGAAGATTGAACGCCATGGGCTGCTTAAATTTATTACGATAATCTCATTGTCCTTGTGAATATACATAGCTATCGTATAGAGATTGTACGGTTATTCTTTTACACGACGTATCTCTCATCTATCTAATATAAAAGTATCAATAAAAATTCGTTATATCTTTAAAAATTAAATATTACGATTCCAATATCATGATTAATTAATTCGAAATTATTTTAGTACCAATTATTATTTTTTATATATTTAGTATCAATTAATTTTAATGAATGAAGTATTTTTCTAAGTTATATAACCATTGCATTTATAAAATTACAAATGTAAGTTTACGTTTTATGTAACGTAATTATTTCTATTGCTCCTCTTTTAATGGTGGTATCATTTGGTATAGAATGTTCGATCTGCTCTCTCTTCAATAGATTGCAAAGGGTTCAGGGCAGCACATGTAGGGGAATCATGTAACTTTGTCTCGCAACTAAAGATAAACCCGATACTTCCGCCGCGTTTCTTCATTCAGCGTCTGCCTATGACGCGGCAATACTACTTTCTCGTTACATTACTTATGAGCGCGCTATCAGATCGAACGACGTCAACTCGCGGTATGCGCGCAAGAACGATCGATGCCGCGCCATAAGCGCAATAAAAATAAAGCAACGCCGCTAAGAATAAGATCGCGCACAGTTTTCTCCGCCACTCGCTGGTTATCGGGCAATTTTTTCCTTCCATTCACTGCCGGTCGGCCCGTGCGCTATCGCGAAATAGCTCGAAATTATACGCGACTCTCGAGCCGTCGCTCTTATCGTGTCGCTCCGCGAGAAGACGCGATCGATACTTGTACTCTAAATCCGTGCCCGCTATTCTGATCACGAATCTCATGACCTGTTCTAATGTCGAATTTTATTCGTGGAAATATCATACCCGAATCGCAGACACAGACGAGAGAATCGAACAATTATATTTGACGGTAATTGCACGACGAAAATAGGCTGATTAGCGCGAAACGCGTCACGGAACCGAAATGTGTTATTTGTTCATGAAGATGTTTACGAAATCTCGAGTGGTGTCTATATCGAGATACTTTCTTCCCTAAAGATTCCTTACACTGTTGGAAAATTTTTGTAGGTTTGTTAAAAAAGGTCCTTGTTAAAATTTTTGTGTAAAATAATAATCAACACATACATGTGTAGATTTAACATATGCCTGCTATGTTAATTGAACTAAACAAACTTAAAATGTAAAATTATTAAAATAATTTAAAGAATAAAGTAACACAATTTGAATGTATTTATTAAATGTGTTAAAATTTACAAAAAAAAGAGTGTTGATTTTACTCTATAACAGAAGTGGGAATAAAAATTTACAGAAAAAGAATGTTGATTTTATCTTACAATCTTAACTTCAACATAAAAGTTATGTTAATTGTACACATAATTAACCTTACATTTCTTTTCTGTTGAAATATTTTAACATAGTATCGGTGTTACCATTTAACACATCCATATTATGTTAAATTAACACAAAAATTTGAGTGGACCGTTTGGGACATGAGATTTATGTTATATTTAACACAAATTTTCCAACAGTGTACATGAGTATATACATGTATCAAATTATTTGAAATTGAGCAACCATCAGAAATTGATGAATCTGAAATTAATCGACCGAGCTTTTCTCGTTCAAGATTCGTCAAATAAATCGCATTGATTTTCGTTAACTTATTTACGGAAATGCCTCTTCCTTAATTAATTTTACAATGTCGATATTCTGAAGTAATACCGATGTTATAGGTATCGACCTACGGCATGTATCTTATGAAATATTAATTCGATACCGGCTAAATATAAAAGTAATGATGTCCTATAAAATTTTAGCGTTTATATTTGTGTGGCGAGGCAGATCGTATTGATGTACCGTCAAACTGCCCTATCGTCCTATTTGTTGACGCCCATGCCGAGAATTTGCAAATGTCACGGAAAACGTGAGAGTGTAATTTATCGTTGCAGAAACATTTCTCCGTTTAATTAGTAAATTCAATCAGTTTCAACACAAAGTCAATATTCTGATATACAATGCAGGTGTTATCGGCGAAAGTCTCGATTTACATTATAATTATACAATTGCATCCACAAAAATTCTCGAAACAATTAGATGACTTTTTCTCATCTTTTTTCTTCAGCGTTCGCGCGCTCGGAAAAACAACCTAAGTACGCCTCGGATCAAATCATTAAAATTAAGTCTTTTCGAAATTAAATAAAAGAAGAATTCATTCTTTGATGCGTACTTCGATATTAAATCTCTTCAAGATGATTTAAATTAAAAGCAATTAATTTTTTTCGCTCGGAAGTTTTTTTGTTCTTTTTTTTTTTTAGGAAACTCTCACAGCATGACAAAATAAAGTAATTTTTGCTATATTATATCTATTATTTAAATATATAAAAAAAATGAGTATTGTCATAGATTGATTAAAGAAAATTCGACTGCCAAAAAAACTCGTTATAGAAGCTCTCATTAAGAAGTTATACCATAGTTCGTGAGAGATGTAAATTAATATAACAGGTGTAGATTAATATAACAGACGGCTAACTAATTCCTCGTTCCTGCATCTCGCGTATAATAATGAATTTCTAAAGGTCGCGCGGAAAACATATACACCCACGAAAATCCTTGAAATAACCGGCTTCCTGCGGCGAAATCGTCAATGTATATGTGAGTGTACCTATATGTATGTGTGTGTGCGCCCTTTTTTCGAGCGCAGTCGGGCGAGACTTTGCGTAAAGCGAGAAAAGTGAAAACATGAAAAAACAATATGAATCATCAACGCGTAAACATAGAATAAAAGGTAAGGCGATTAAAATTATTATTTCACTATATATTCGGAATAAAAATATAGCAGGTAAACAAAATAATCGCTTTTCGCAAATAAACGATAAAATTGTATACATTTAGGAAAATTATATAAATCTCTATAATAAAATATAAAAAATATTGCGATAAAAATTGAATACTTTGAGAATATTGAACTTTGGAATTATTCGAATTATATAAAGTTCAGCTCACCTGAAAGCACCGTGGATTTCCCTGCCCGATGCCATCGTCACTGCGATATCAGGTAACGATCCTGTGAAAAAAATGAAGAGGCATTAGTCTTCACATTAAGCATTCTTGAGAAAAGATATGTCGCAGGTTTTTCCGCATATCGAGAGTCTCCGTCACGGCGTCGTTACATCCGTTCTCATTTCTTTCCTTTAAACAAGGCGACTTCTCTTACACTCGTACAAATCGCTTTAACGTGAACGAGGACGATGCTCTTCATCTTCCGCGAAATTTCTCATGCGAAACGAGACTGCTCGTCGGCAAAGAAAACAACACGACCGTTATTCTCGAATGCGAAACGAATCCGCAACGATATCGTCTTTGTCTTTTAATTGCGAGCACCACAAAATCGAAAGTCTATAATTAGGCGCAAACTTAAAGGCGCATTACAAAGAGAAACGTAACGAGAAAATATGAAGTGAGAGACGAGCACAAGTCGAAAAGAATTCATTTCCATTAAATAAATGATATTTAATTATTTAGTAAATAACTTTGTAATATTTTTCAAAAATTTTCCCCAACGTTTCACCGGGAAACGTTCGTTAATGCCCGACGTTTAAACGTAACTGCAAAATTTATCTCCGTGCTCCAATTATGACAATGCGCGCATCTGTTAACCCAGAGGTAACGTTACATATTTCCAGCCGCGGATGACGTGTCAGTACTTAAGGCTTAACGACGCGCGAAACTCGCTCTGTAATTCGCTCGTCGGAGACAACGTCGTCGCAATTCGGACTCGGACAATGAAGCCGTTCTCCTCCTCCGGGATTGGTATAATACCGCGCTGTACCTCATCGGCGACGTCACGCGTCTCTGAGAAAGACTATCGTGCGCGAGATATACCCCCCCATTTATCCAGCAGACAACGAGGCGTGTGTCCGCGATACGTTTCGCATCCGAGGGCTCTAAATTCTGAACGAGATCGCTTGTTCGTCTGACGAAAAACGACTCGATCGGAGTGACAACCAGGCTTTATTCCAAATACCTACCGTCCCTACCGACGTGATTATGACCTCTTATGTAATCACGCGTTAAGAATTACAGCATCGAGAACTGCGGGGCAGACGTTTTTTAACAAGAGTTGCACAAAAATTGAAGAGTCTGATTTATTCACCAACTATTCTAAATTTATATAAAAAAAAAAGAGCGGAAATCACTCAGATCGCATAATCTCTGAGCTTCTTTTCGTGATTCATAATCAAAAGAGTTAAGACGGCTTGGATATAAGTTCTCGAATTCTTCGGCTGTATAGAGAAATGCTACCATCTAAATATACGACATCGCAATTACTCTTGGCGAACTTTTTTACTTTATAATAACGTTCTATAAAACTTGATGTAATAGTCTAAAATTAGTTCGCCGGTCTCGCGGCAGGTCGATATCGAGCGTGCTATTAGACAGATAGGCACTGTCTTAAATTTGGCACAGCAAATGGACAACGCCGGTCGGGCCACATTGATATTTTACAATCCCAAAATCTCGTAGAAACGACGGGTTTTCGGGACTTCTGGGGGAAATAACCATGTCCAGCGAACGAGCGGTCAGTCTATAAATTGTTGATTGTCCTGCTCGAATGTCGGGAGCGATGTCTCGATCGTGATAGATCGATTTTCTCCGTCCGGCATGCAGCGTGCATCCGTCGGCCGACACTGACATACCGTCTTCTTTCATCTTTTATGGGACGCGCCCGCACGCGCTCGATTTTTCTATGCAAATTGCAGCCCCTCTCTCTCTCTCTCTCTATTTAATGAAGATCGATTGACCGTCGCGCGTAATATCGAGCCATTTACGACAAGAATTCCTCGAGAGGAAGCTGTTCTCGTCTCTGATCATTCCTTTCAGCCCTTGAGCATTCCCCCATTTAAATCAGTTTGTCAACCTTGACGAGATGCCGACTAGGAATTTGAGGGAAATATGAGCGAATATATTAATCTTTACCTAGAAATAATTTGTCTATGAAGAGCGTGGAAGATATAAATCATTATGCATTATGTTAATATCACAAGTAGGATATGTATTTATTTTGCAAATCTAATGCATTATGCATTAGATGCATTATGTTAATATCATAAGTATATAGGATATGTATTTATTTTGCAAATCTAATTTTTACACAAATCTAATTTCTCACAGCTTTGAACTTTATTCTTAAAAAACGTCATTTTCCATATTATATATACAAATATGCTTTATAATATCTTTTATAAAAATTATGAGAAACGCTACAAACTACAAGCTTTTAATTTATTTCAAATATTATTTTTCTATAGAAGCTTTTATCATTTATTGCTTTAGCATGCAAATTTCAAAACAAGCATCAATATTTAATTTCCTTTAAAATGACGTATTAATTCGAGAATTGTTAACATCTAGTAATGGAAGTTTGAGGGAACAAAGAGAAAGGGAGAGTTTTGACCTTTCCGATAGCCAGGAGTGGCAATCATATGCATTAATTGATATAGCGGAAACGCGGTCGGATTACATGGAGGGCACAGCATCGCGGTGCAATGTTAAAGGTCATCATTGTACAGGTTCTTCCATAAATCGCGTGTTATACTTTTTTCTCAGCTAATTTTTTGCTGAATTTTGAGTTAACGAAAAAATTTACACGGTTCCCATTACTTAATTTTTATTTGCACGTAATTATTATCACGATAATTGAATTAAAAATTAAATTTCTGCTGAAATTGTCTCATACGATTAATTGTAAAAAGTACTTTTACTTCGGGTATTACATAATTTTAGAATTTATGTTTAGATTTTTATTTTAAGATGTTAATTCAAAATGTTAGCCGAGAAATACGTACAATATAGGTGAAGTTTATCACTTGTGACATGAAATATCTATTACGTTCCACGTACAACAGTACGTGCGACATATGCATACAAATATTATAATTAATATCGATTTCCGTGTTACTCGTCATATACAGATATATCAAATTCTCGTGGATTGTCATGAATAATTCTTACATATGACATCCGTGCTCTGCAATGTCGAGTTACGCGCGAATCAGAAATGCGAATTAACATTATAAATTGTAGATTGAAAATGCAAAACCCACATAAGCGCGCCATATGCCATTGAATAAATTAAAAATAAATTTTATTAAAGAATAATTTAATAATGAAAAATTATACATACGCTATGTTTTGCGTTTCTCATAAAGTCATAAACGTCGCACGGTACAACGGTATATTTGAGAGATTAATTAGAATCGCAAAATTCAAGGAAATAAATTTTGTTTCAAATAAACATTGTGAATATATATTCGTGTATGCGATAATAGTTTATTCATCGTGATTAATTTAATGCGCGAGAAGTACAGAATATTCAGCGCCTCGTTAATTTTTACAATATACGTTGAATATTTCGTAGCAGCGATAAATTCGTTGGTACGCAGCGTTTGTTTTTTTTTTGCGCGCGCGCAACCCTCGTGACGTTTAATATCAACAATACCGGCGCGGCGGATTGTTGTGTACACGCAGATACTTTGCTATCATTCGCGCGGCGAGAGCCGAGCAGGTAGGCAGCGACTATGGTCGCGCTATTATTCTTCAAAACGCGATTATTTACAATTATCAACTTACATGATTAATTGACTCCCACGATTCATAAACGTGCTGGAGTAACGACTACTTATTAAAGCCGATATACCGCACTTGTTCTTTTGAAGTCGCGATACCGAGGCACGAGGGGGTGAGAATAGGGGATGAGAAACATTAAATTAAGATCCTTCGCCTTTCAAGATGCATTCAAGATGCGCTGATTTGCGAGATATCATGGGTGTCGAGCGAAGCGTATCTTTCTCGCTTTATCGTAACGTAATAAAATGCGAGGAACTGTCACGCAAACTGTCGCGAGATTATCGTGTTCTGTTAATTAGTATAATACATGTATGTAGCTAACTGTGTTTTCGCGAATGAATTATTCGTGATTGTCATCAAGAAGTAGTAAATAAGGACCAGCGGTCAAAACCAGCGGTTAACCAACGGACAACCAACAGAGAATCAAGAGAAGAAAAGGAAGCCCCGAGAGATCGTCAGACGTGACGACGAAACACAACCTGGAGTAGGTAGATGTATAAATAATATAATATCTTATTTTATTCATTACTTTTTCCCGTGATATTAACCCTAGAGAACACAAGAGGGGTAATACGTTACCCCAACGCGACATTAAAATTACGTCCCTGACTTAGGGGCCCGAGAGGCGACCAATTTGTTTTTCGAAACTTTTTACTGTTTTTTTTTTACTACCAGAAACTGATGATACTATCATCTTCCCTATTAAAGAGCAAACAAAACTATCTATTACAAAGTTTTCTAACAACAAATAGAAACATTATACACGCGGTACAAGTTTGGGGTAATTTATTACCCCGCTTGGGCTTTCACGTATGAGAAAATTCTCATGTGTTCTCTAGGGTTAATTATTTATCTCTACGACACTTTTATATGTATATATTTTAAATTAGCGATAATTGTGTAAATATTACAATAAATATGATATCTTATAGAGCTCATAAAGATCTCTATATCTCAGAGTTCCGCTTCGTTGGGATGGTAATTCGTCATTTCACAAGAGCACTTATAATTAAAATAGAATTGTAATAAAATAGAATGCATGATCGTGTGTGCGTCAAGCCAGGCTCCGGATATGTTAGTTTATCTAGTATATCTTTAATTAGGCGTATCTGACTCAATCTCGAAACCTTGACATCGCAGGCCATCACTTACGTTGCTTCATTAATGCAATGCTTAATTAAAACGTCACGTGCGACGATCTTTCGTTGCAACATCTCAATAAGCGGAAACTCCCCGTCGAATGTATGTAAATATGACAATTTTATCTGCCTCAAAATTTCTCTCCCTCGATTTTTATTATTATTTCTAGGCGTAAAATGCATGTTATTTACACAAAGCATACAAATATCCAGTAAACTCTACAATATTTAATTTCATATTTAAACTACTTTAAACTACGCAAATTTTTGGCGTTATTCTGGCATAATATTTTTGTGCACCAAATACAGATAAAAGATTGGAAAAAATATCGATAAAAACATTTTAAAAGCATACAGCGCAAATTTTTTAAAAAATATATTTTAATATTTATAAAAATATTTGAGGATATATGAAAACATTCTTACCACAAAAGTATGAAATGTAATATCAAAAATTAATAATTGTTAAGCCAATTAATTTTAAACATGAGATATTAATATTATTTACACAAATTTCTTTCAGCAAAATATTTTGTCGTAAAATGTATGATTTCTGTTATTATATTGCTATTAGAAGGTAAAAAAAATATAATTGGTTAGAAAATATTAAACAAATTTTATTACCAATAAATTATTTCTGTTTTTGACATTGCATACGACATTTCAAAGAGACAGTAAGCAAATACTTTAACAGTAATAATGTGATCATGAGAAATTTTGGTAGGAGTCGTTCGGTCACGATTTCTTCTGATGGCTCAACTGAAATGAATAACGTTCCGCTATTGTTTTAACCGCGATTGCCAATATGCACTGAGAGCCTTGCACAACGAATTCACATTGCCACATAGCGACAGAATTGGCACACGTCGAGAGTACGAGAAAAAAATCTACATCCTTCAATCGCGAAAAATATGCCAATCCAATTATATTTTATTACTGAATATGTGGTCAGATATATCACGTTCTAAAATATATATTGGTAAATTTAATCTGTAAAAAATATTACTTTATTTGAGATCACCAATAATCTCTTAATGCGATGAATAGTCAAATAATTGTCAAGTCATATATTTGATTTATATCATTTAATCGAATTTGTCTTTTAATGTGTCGATTGCAATTAATCGACAGCGATGCACATGTTTTTGAACATATATATAAGAAAAATAAAAGCGAAGCGTAATGAATGGTGACAAATGTGCTCTCTAAATATATCGGAAAAATCGATTGACTGAAATGGCAAAAGACTATTTTTCAAACTTAACTATATGAGTTTCAAAGATCAGAGTTTGATAGAGTCAAATGGAAAGATGAAAATTATCGATAAAACAATCACGACGCTAGATCTTTTTAGAAATGTTAATCGATAATTTCGATCTTCTCATAGCTACTTAATAACAGAAATTACACATTATAATGAAATAACATAATTTCTTCCAGAAAAATTGATTGCACGTAATAAATTAATAAAATTTAAAGTTTATTTTTTTAATTCATTAGATGAGAGATATGTTGCCGCTATTAATCTCTGATACTAGGTACTTTTTACTTTTATTTGTGATGCATATGTACCCCAATTGCAAATGAGACGGGCAATAAAGGAAAGCAGAAACAAAACGACGAACGAAATTGCAGTCAATTACATTACAACGCGATTGTCGGGGGACCTCTTAGGTCCAGTTGCAACGTATCTGTCCGAAATTGTTTAATGGGGTTTAAATATACGATGCGTTATGCGGCTGCATGGCGAACGCGGATTCAATTCGGCGCGGTGAGCGGTCGTATCAGTCGAAATTCGAGCGAAACTTAAATTTAAGCACCTTAGGTCCTGGTGCAACGCGACAGCCGGCTGATTTCTCGGCCTCGCGACGCCAATGTAAATTTAACGTCGTTCACGCCGGATCTCGCGGGAAGATCGACAGGCTCATTTCGCCACTGACACTCTCGTCCGGCACGCGGAAAGCGTAATTTGCGTTTATGGGTGAACAGGTGTTGTATCTAGGAAGAGAATAGGGTAGAAGGAAAAGTAGAATGAGAGAGCGAGAGGGAGGTGGGGAAAGATCAATTTATTATTATCCTGAGACAAACCCCAAGATAATCCTAAACCTACTTAGAGGAAAAGGGAGACAGGACTTTGGTGTTAAGGAGAGAAAATAATTTATCGGGGGGGAGTTAATTGACAAAGTAAAGAAAGAATAATAGATATGCTTAAACCAACAGAACTCAATCTTCCTTTAGATACTTATATAATAAGAAAATATATTTATCGCCAGGTATATTTATCATGGTATCTATATTACGCTGACGTATAATATAACAAGTGGAAGGAGAGAGAACGGACATGGATATGTAATTCAAGTAGAGACAGACCGGTTGCGGTCAGACATTTTTTCGTGCCGGACGCGTCGTTACCGTTTCTACTGCGATTCTATTACGTTGTCTTGGTGCATAATCATATACGCGATTTCTATCCATTCCATTTTTAAATTAATCAACAAAATTATCCATGCATGATGAATGAAAATATAAAAAGAATTAAAAATATAAAAAGAAATAGAAAATAAGAAATAGATGACATATGAATCATAAGAGAATTCCAAAAAACCTGAGTGAATAGAGAATTACATATTAAATGACGTGCGACACGTGCATTATATTGCCGTTCGTTTGTAAATATTTCACGAACTTATAAAAATATATTTTCCAGAAAAATCGTGGTTTAAACCGAAGGTGGCATTTATTATTCGACATAATCGAGTAAGCGCGCGGCGGTTTTTCCTGTAATAGAATATTTTTATCTCGCCTGTCGCATTTCGACCGGTCGGATATTCCAGGAAACAGCGAATGCGAATACCCGGAGTCGCGAAGGAAAATTTCCGATTCATCCGAACTCCCGACTTAAGCTCTCGAAATCAATTATTCATTACGCTCAATGGAGCAGTCGAAGCAAATTTTGCTCCAGCTCCACGGCCGCCTTACGTCAAACGAAACTAATAAGCCAGTCTGCGAGTGATCAAATTTAAGGTAAAACTTAAATTTGAACGAGATCGATCGCCGGGATCGTAGCTGTGGGCTTTGAATTTCATTTGAGATACGACCGAAATACACTCTTGGGAGTATCATTTCTCATCGTTAATGGGATAGCGACGATTAGGTTCTTCTCGCTTCGTTACGGAACATTTCAATCCCTTTCGACCGCAATGGGGTATGTGAGATATCAGTAGCTTCACATTTAAACGACAAAAAATTGCGGTATGTATGTATATAAAGATAAGCTTCTTTCATAGCAACAATTCTTTGGGGCATTCTTGTTTTATATCATTTTTATTATTCAGTTTCTATGTATAATATTATTTATATATATTATTCAAGATTCATTTTTAATTGATTTAGCTAATTATGCTCACAGTTAATGAAGATAATAAATTAATCTCAGTTTCATTATACGAAATCTTGTTTTATTATACGAAAACGGAAACAGTGAAAATGTAAAAAAAGGCAACGTGTAATAATTTATTTCTCCCGAAATTGACTTATAAAATATATTAATGCCATATATAATTTATTTCGTTACGAAAATTATTATTGTGTTGATCTAATTTCCTCGAGCGATGATCCCCATCTCGCACGAAATGAAATCCGATTCATCGAATTATCTAGGTATTCTAGGTAAAAGATTTAACAGATGTTAATTTCGACCGTCGCTCGAAATTACAAAATTATCCGGACATCATGTCGCATCTTTTCGATTACATTTCCCCACATTCGACCAGACGACTAAGCAGCTAATTTCGCTCGAATTCGATTAACGTGACGGATTAAGTCCCGATTCCAGGATTAACGGACGTTAACCCGCGCATCGTCCCGTACATAAGAGAAACGATCTCTCTCGCGACCGACCCGGCCATCGTCATCGTCACGTCGGGCTGGCTCTATTAAGGGTGGGTAAGGGGTAACTAAGGGAGTTCCTCCGGAGGCCGATCGATTGCACGTAAAAGTGCCCTCGTATTTCGAAGGGACATAAATACATTACATATATTGTATATATATATATACACACACACACACACACACACACATATTCTCACTCTCTCTCTCTTTCTCTTTCTCTTTCTCTCTTGCTTCTCTTACCTCTCACCATCTGTACTCCAATACTCCCGGAGTCGTCTCGCGAGAAATGCTTTTCTATGATCGCCGCCGTTTTTTCTCTCCTCTTCTACGGCGACGTCGGCCCAGCGGAATTGCGTGCGGAAACTATAGCTCTCTTCCTCTCCCTCCCACGCCGTTAACCACCGACGCACCTGAGAGACTTCGAGAGCAAGGCAAGCCGAGAACACGATCCTCGCTCGTCGAGCGTCCCGCGCGAACTGATCGGCGCGGGCATCGACGCTCGCGCGCCTCCGCTTCGACGTCGACTGCAGGCAGCCTCGCGGGGCGGCCGCCGCGGATGGAAGGGGTTGCAGCCGCCGTATTTTATCGGGTTCGTTTCCTCGCCTGATGCACGCAAAACGAACGTCGGCGATCTTGTGCTAATTAATTAATTTTCATCAACACATTGAATTTACTTAGAACTCCAGACGAACGCGACTTCTGGCAACAGACAACATAAATCTCGATGTTTCACTGGGATGATGACGATAATCGATGTTTGCCGAAGCAGCTATTATCTCGCGCATCGTCAATCATCGATGAAACCGTTGCTTATCGTGATAACGATTTGTCGATCGAAGATAGATAATGCAGAAGAGCGAAGTGCATCATTGCAACAGACGCGGGATGCGTGGCGCGATTCCTCGGCAACTCGTTACCATCCTCAACATATCCTTAAGTCTCTCCTTCGTTGGCGGATGCCGCATTGTATTCCACATGCGGGCCACATGTTTCTCGCGTGCTGGCCCACACGTCGGGCCAAAATATATCGTGCGAGGCGCGTGCCGGCGAGAGTTCTTTTTCCGATTAAGATCGTTCACATCGCTCGTAAAGTTTCGAATCACATCACGAATAACAAACGCTTCTTCTAAAAATATTTAACTTGCTCAAATTATGTGTTTCTACTTTGTTTCTACTTACTGTGTCTTTTGATATGTAATAATATACTTGGAAATCACACTGAATTGTTGCTTTAGAAAATTTCGATATCAATTTGATTACAAAAGACTGCCTCATATATCACAGTGAGTTGCCGCTGGATTGCCATTCAGTTTTATTGAATTAATGTAAAGTGCGGCTTTATAGAATTAATGTAAAATGCTAAATTTAACATAGGCTCGGCATGAAACAGGTTGAATTTACCCGTTTTCCTATGTGCTCAATAAATTATAATCGAACGAAACATCGAAGGTGACATGGTCGTGCTGCATGACGGCCTCGCACGTAATAAACCCTGACATACTTCGTTTGAATATCGGGCTCCAATTTCCGATATATAATTCCGCATGTCCGTCGACGTAGACGTAGATAATTGTACGCGCCGTCATCTGTCGACGTCTTACGTCCCCTTAACTCTTTCAAGGCCCCAAAGATAGTGCTTTGCCCGAAGAACGTTTGATATCGAGGATCCGTATATTCGGAATTAGAATGATAATAATATATACGGATCAATGCCCCGCGAACGTCAAATGCCGCCAGATATCACCACAAAGTGCTCGTAATAAGATACTTTCGTATCATAATACGACACGTTGATCGACATGTCAGTCGCGCAAATCTAACATGTGCGAGACCAGATACATTAGTTGTATCATGGGCAATCAATGATCGCTGGCAAACTAACGGTTCCAGTATATTTGTCTTTTCCTCGGCCAAATACACCGGTCGCCAAAGTCACCCGTCACTTATACTTTTATTATTCTCTTCGAAAAAAAGAGAGAGCGAGGGAGATCGTGAAGGGAAATTGAATTTCCTCGAGGACAAGGGACTGTTTCTCACGTAGGGTGCAGAGAAGAAAGGGGCAAGAAAAGTTTTTCGTCGAGAACGCGAGGAATGAGGGTTTGACGTCTGATGCAGAGCGGCTATTACTTGTCGAATCTCGCGGGAGAACGTTTGCAACGCGTTTGTACGAATAACAAATGATACTGACTAACGTTCGTGCTGTCGTCTCAGAACGCGTCATTAACGTGAAAAAAGAAAAATCGCTGGAACCGTCGAGCTCTTAATGAATAAAGATGTAACGTAACGAGCATCATTTCTACCTAAGTTTAAGCGAGGATAATTGCTCAATATATCGCTTTCTATATAGCCTTCTCATTATTTTACAGATTTAGAAGAAATAAAAATACCAATTAAACGCGATTTTCGTAACAGGATTTTTACGTGAAAGATTACGTAGGAAACTATAAATAGGAAATTGTACGCTGTGACCTCTCATTAATTCATTTGCAAAAGGATTACAAACACAAGAAATTAATTAATTGTCATAGTTGTAAAATTTACAAATATTTTGAAGTTTTTATTGCCGTGTAATATGCGTATTGTGTATCATCGTATTTTATTATTTTAAAATATTTTAAAATCATTGTTCCTCTGCACGGTGAATTCCGCTCGCGCTCGTGAAGTTTCTTCGTCGAATTTATAATCCTTCGTCTGAGATCCGCATCTTGACGTGCCTGGCGTGATAAATTTCGATCAGGGCTTATGACACGAGCTTCCTCGCTGACGAAGTTTGCGACCCTTTCACGACGCGAGGAGAATGCGATTTATCGTTGAAAAAGAAAATAGCACGAAAGTCACGGGAGGAGGTGAATAATTAAAACAAACTGCGCCCCGCTCTTTTTTCGCTTTGAAATTTACAGTACACACGGTTATTTATTTCAGAATACACGACGCTTCTGTAAATGCGCGCGGATTTATAGGCACGCGCCGGAATAAGTCTGGAAGAATTTGAGATTAAACGGATTACCTTCGTTAGGGATCGTTGTTCTATTTGTAGGATATTGAGAAAAAAATGTTGAGGTTTATCTGAGAAGGAAGTTTATAAAAAGACAATAGATAAAGACCGCATGATTTATTGTTCCCTAGTCGGAAATACGTGAGAAAATAAGCAAGATACATAATTTTCCCCGTTTAATTCTCTACGTTTAACGTTAAATCTTCTTTCTCCATCTATGTCATATTGGTATTACCATCTAGACAGAGAGAAAGAGGATCAATTAAACTGTAGTTAAAGTTAATCTATGTTAGTGGCATCGACCCTTAAATAAATAAGGCTCGCAACATCGGCCACATTTAGTACTAAATAATGGGTACATAAATCAGAAACGTTTGTGACGGGCAAATCCATTTTGATCCTTGAGCAATTGCTTCAATGACGTCAATGTGCTTGACGTCTATGTATTTCGCAGTAAATGTAACAAAGTAAGTATATTAACGTGATATACGTACAAAACAATCTGTCAGGGTAGAATCTTGGGAACGAAGAATATTTAACATGAGAAACAAGTATATAAGATTTCCGAATGTCGTAAGATTAACGTATTTATTTTCAAGGAACGTCATTACGTCTATATAGAAAGAATCTTTGAAAGAATTTTGGGGTAATACTAGTTTTTTACTCATTGCTCAAAATTTTGATAGTACGTTAAGACATTGTAGAAAATATTCGATAGAACAAATTTTTTGACAAATTAAGAATTATCGCCATACGCCTCTAAATTAACACGCATTTCATATGTACATTTAACCTGACGTATATTCGTGCGTATATATTCATTCTTAACGTTCTCTGATTAATATATGGCCTGATACTACGGTAATTCGTGCGTCATGTGAGAATACCACTGCGGGATGGCGTAATGAATGAACTATAGTGGGTTTCAGGGTCAGTACGGGACGAGAACGAGAAAGAGAGAAAGAGAGAGAGAGATAGATAGATAGACGGTGAGGGAAGACGATGGAAAGCGCGGCGCATGAAGTCCGCGGCTATAAATTATTTCGGTTTCCCGCTAATTCCGTCACGATACAGGATGGTGAATCGCACTGGTGGTCGTCACTCACCACGTGCGATGTTAGCGGGCGAATTGCCCGCTGTACTTATGGGGGCCCTCACACGGACGGACGTTATATACCGTAAACACATCGGTATTCTCGCGAGCCGTCAGCATGAATACATCACGTTATCAATCAGTCGATTACGATGTTCGCACGATCATGAATATTAACAGTGCTCGATGGCGATCGTGTGAGAGCACCTTAAACTGGCCTAATTCTTGGAGGGGTTTATCTTTAGGGGCCGCTCGCGCAAGGATCAAAGCGATATTTTCATCTGCAGAAAAAGAAACTTTTAGAGTGCCTCTGGTGAAGCGATCGAAAAGAATTCTCGCCGCTTAATAATGAATTAATCAATAACGATTCAAACGAATCAATTTTTGCATCAATAAAATATAGGTACGTACATTACATGTATGTGTAAACTGTGTTACATAATGTTTTATTTGAAATCTGGAAACTAGCAACCTGTAATCTGGAACCTTTTGCTCTATATGTCTTGCTAGTAACATACATTTTTTTTCTTTGCCTCTTTCTCTTTTTTTTTTCTTACGCGAATAACATAGCGAGAGACTGATCGTGGGAATACCCCATAAATATTGGACCCACGATTTTCCGGGTAATCCGACTATTTAGGGAAGTCAATCAGAAAACGTATTTCCCGGACGTGACGGTTACACGGGGCCGATTTCGCAACCAATTCCTGTAACATCGGATTATACGCGGGGCGAATGCGCGAACTCGATTACGAAATCGATTACCTATTTGCACGGCTTGATTAACTACCGCCATGTGTAAAGCAACGAACTCGATTATGCGCGCGCCAAATCGGATTTGCACCGCCACGTGCACGCGAATCGCACGATCGCGCGATAACTCCCAGGACAAGATCCTAGGAAGCATGAAATCGCCGATATTACTTGGAAATAAGAGGTTTGACCCACATCGCTATACGCACGCGACTGCATTAACATAATTACGCGCGTGGAAAACCGCGAGGATCTTATAGTATTATCGTAAATCAATTAAGAAAAGTACTGTAATCGTTAAATGTAAAAATCATTGAACTGATGACTCTATGGCTGCATTTCGATATTTACCGTCAGCAACTGTCAGTACCGAAAATCTACAGTATACGTGACGTACAAAATATGGAAAAATTTAGATTTTCAGTACTGACAGTGAATGCAGCCTTTAAAGGCGCTTTCAGTTGTCAATTAATTTAAAGACTTAGCGCATTAATTATTTTTTCAACTCTCTTCATGCTGGGAAAAAGAATTACGCAGAGATTAGCGGTTTTTAAGAACCGTGTCCTTAATCGTCACTTGGGGAAATAACCGACGTGTTAATCATACATAATTCCTTGGAAATGTGGATCATCCTCCACCGGATTCTCCTCCCTCTCTTAAGCGAACTGTCTAACGGAATTCAGGGTTACA